AAGTACTGGGTAAGTTAGACCGAGCGGAGGTCACATCACATCGTTTCCACTACAGTGTTTCAGATTAAACAGAAAACATCGAGTCCAAGTTTCAACTCACTATTTTTCCATAGAGCGAGATGGCTCCAGTTACTACCCATGAAGCGACCCGAAACCCCTGTGCGTTTTGAAGAGCATTGAGAAGTGTTGACTCACTTGTCTTATCAGGCATCAACGACATGACAGTTAATGTCTGAGAGCCTCTTACCTGTGTGTAGAATGTTGTCTATTTAAGTTTTGCTTCGACCCAATGTTTCTTGTCTATAATACTTGGTTAGGATGGTGGGTCTTGGAGGCAGGGTCAGCCCTACCGTTGGATGCGTTTCAGACAATTTACACCTCCCCCTCCTCTTCGTAGGTCTTGATAAATTCTCTCTCTGTGAACGTCTGTGTATACATAGATACATCAACATTACATATGAACGGAAAACTTTGGGGTGCGGGAGCATTTCCCGTTTTCCCCGGTGTTCCTGCTCCCATCAAATAGATTTCAATGACATTTGCTTTTGAGGGCCATAAGGTCCTCCACATTCGAGTTTGTGCCACGAGGTTAAAAAAGTAGAAAAATTCAAATCATGCTCTCCCTAACAATTGTACAATATCCCTTGAAAGTTTGTTTAGTAAAAATTGACACGTTGGTACTTTTTTCTGTGCAAACGCGACTTTTCAACCTTTAAACGACCATAACTTCCTTCAAAGTCATTTATTTGGGAAGCTGAACGAGTGTGACTAAACTTCAAGGTTCAAGCTTTCTAAAAAGTACTGAAGCTTCTTTGAGAATCTGTCAATTCGGAAAATTAGTCCCGTTGGGGCTTTTTTTTTGGGGGGGGGGGTTGTGGGACTTGCAGGAATTTTTCGGAACCGCGAGTTGTCACCCTTTAACCAATCACAACTTCCTTCAATGTCATTGATTTCGAAAGCTGATGCCAGTGTGGCAAACCTCACGGTTTCTAAAAAGTGCTGGAACTTATCAAAAGAAGCCGATTCAAAAGTTACTCCCGTTGGGACTTTTTTTGGAAGGGTATTCATCAAGCCTTTTTCTTGAAAAGAGTTTTTTAGGTTTCAGTGGTCGTAACTTCCTTCAAAACTGATTTCTTGTGAAATTTTGAGCGTTTTGGAAAACCACTTGTATGCACCTTCGAAAATTCGCTCAGCGTTTGTGGAAATCCGTTCCTCCTAAAAATTCCTCTTGCAAAAATTTCCTTTTTCCTTCGAGAAGTCCATCCTTCATACTACTGCAATTTTCTTCGTTTCATTCACTCCAGAAACATCGAAATTCCTTTTGAAACAGTTTTTTGTTACTGATAATTCGAATTCAAAGCGCCTTGCAATCATCCCTGCCATGGTGTGCGCCGCGCCTGCGCTGTGCTTCAAATTCGCCGATGCATTTCAAAGTCGACATCGATTTCCCCTGCTGATCGCCGCGATTACGACCCCCCCCCCAACTCGTGGACTCGTGGAAAATACGACCTCCCTCGTTGGCACTTGTACCAACAAACGGTTGACTCTGCTTGGAGGCGAGGCAGCCAAAATGCGTGCCTCATCTCTATGCGTGGTACGTGTTGTTATCATAGTGGACTCATGACTCATCTGCACTGGTGACCAACTAGGGAATGTCTTGTCTATACGGTCGAGAATGAAACTTCTGCAGATGGTCAGGCGTGCTTCTCGGTCATGGTCAGTCGATGCATGCTGTTTCCATCGAGAGTTCATTCTGCTGCAGTCCATTCCATTCAGGTGGTCGACTCATGGTGCATCGGCTGTGCCTAGATGTCGACGACATTTCCCTGATAGTGGCATGCGGATGCGTTTCCAACCCACCTTATTGAGAATGACTGAAGGTGAACTATGAGGTCGAACATTGCAGCTCGTGTCATCTTTGCCGATACTACTGCCAATAGCTCAGTGCCGATCAGTAGCAAAGACTGGGGCAAACACAGCGCTGATCTTGCCTACTGCGCTCCTTGCAAGGTTCTTCTTTAAATGATCGTTAAGCATAATCGTTCTGCTTTGGTCGTTGATCCATTTCGATTCCTACTTGATTATCACCTTGCGCATTTGACCTACTAACACCCCTAGCTAAAGGTCCTGCAACCTCAAAATGTCATCATATTTCTCAGTGACACTGACTGGACCTGCAGAACATTGAAGTAGGATAAAAACCGGACTATCTTGCGTCAGACCTCCTTTCTGAGTATCTTTAACACGTTGACGACAGCATGACGCGCATGCGCGTCAGAATTTCACCCGATTCTGGCTAGTTTTTTGATTTATTTGGCTTTTTCATATTTCAAAACTGTGTGCATGCGTTATCTTATCCGAAAAACTGTGCGTCAATTACCAGTAGTGGAATTATTGAAGAAGTTATGACGATTGTGAAAAAATAAACAAAAAGTTGCCGAGGTACACGCATAAGGGGCTGTCGTCAACGTGTTAAGTTGCTGTGGAGAGGGCACTACGTGTACTAGTCAGTCGGTGGGCGTGCCGTGTGGGCAGCGCCGCGAGAAGGGCCATGCTATGTCGCCGGACGCATGTACTTCACTGCGATTGCGTGTCCGTCTACACCCTTAGGCCGATGTCAGGCTGATATCAGATGACCGACAGCGAATCGAGCGATTCGCTAGCGTCCGCGGTCGCGTTGCGGTACCAGCCAATTGAGTGATTCACTGGCCGCGACGCGACCGCAGACGCTAGCGAATCGCGCGATTCGCAAAGTCTGACATCGGCCTTAAGGAGTCCCGTCCTCCCACTAAAGAAGTTCCTTTTACTCGATCTTCGACAGTATCGCGGAATCCTCCTCTAAGCTCTGCAAGAATGATTAACAGATCAGCTGGGACCAAAGGCAAAGTCATAGCCATTGAACGAGTGGTCAAAGGTTTGCGGTTCGACATGGGCTTAACTCTTTTCGAGTCCACGCCCTTCACAGAAAGCTTGAATGCGATTCGATCCATGCAATGGGGCCAACCGATGCATTAGTCGTTATTTTCTCTTTCCAGTCAGGCCTGCTGCTTATTTACTGACTATGGACCAATGGGAAGCTCGACGTTCCGATTATAAGGTGGGATTCGGTCCCCGAACCGTGCGCATCTGTAAGATGGCCAACCTAGATGGTTCATAGCCTTTACAATTAAGATTTTCGAGCCTAACCCCTCAGCGAAACTGGAAAGTGGCAGCGTGTCGACTTGTCGCTAAACCCTCAGGCTGCACTCTGCTAAAGAGAGACCATGGTATACTCAAGGCCATGACGAACTCTTCACAACAATACTCTCATATTCGATTCAACATGAATGGAAGTCCAAACAATGCTAACACTAATGTAACATTGACACATCAAAAATCATGTTAAGGTGGAAAGGACGCCAGTAAAAAAGAACTGCGCTTGCTAGTTTTCCAAACTAAAAGTGACGAGGATATTTATTACATACTCTGCAAATAAACGACAAAATGACAAAATTAATTACTCTATAACTGAACCACCTAAACCGTATGTGGTGATATAGTATGATATCAAGGCTAGCAATACAGACACGTATTCTGCATTTGACAGTAGTAGAAGTTATAGATTAAGTGGCTAGCAAGGCGTGTATATGCAAGGCAAATTCAAGAATGTTGACGAAAACGACGGTAGATACCTGATTTAACAAAGAAACGACAGCATGATATGGTAAATCTAGAAGAGAAAGAACGCAAACTGCGTATATGATCACATCAACTGAATACAGTATGAAACCGGAGCAACGCGACCAGCATCAGTGTTATCCTTGCCACAGTCATATGTTATCAAAGATCTTTTGAAATAAGAATTGCAACGGCTTACTTGGAAAAAACCGCTGGTTAACTATTCGTTATGAAGTGAAAGCAGATTCAAAGCTCAGAGTCCTGAGAACAAATAATCCAAATCTAAAGGAACATGTTATGGGGAAATATTTAGCGTTGAAAGGGAAAGGTGTGACTACCACTTGAGAATCAGTGCATGCGACCAGGCATGATTGGCGTTGAAGCGATTGTTCCACTCAGAGAAATACCGTAGAAGCGCTCCTGTGCCTCCATCTCTTCTTGGAATCGGCTCTCCAACATCTGTACGAAAACTATTAAATCAAGCAATTAAGCGTTATCTGCCATATTAAGAAACATTCGTATCCCACAGCCTGGCGCGTCTGCATTGCAGACTTAGCACCATTTAGACGTGTCATAAAATGATCAGCAGCATCATAAATCACGTGAGAAATTGCTTTTTTCGAGTTCTTTGTTACGGTGCCTTCTGAAGAATAGTGGCTGAAACATAAGTAGCTACGAACTTGAAAGATCCAGGTGGAAATCAATCCTTTTTGATGCTATCGAGTACGCCTAGGAAGCGTTAAATCTGCATCGCAGGCTCACCTGACTACCAGATTACGAGGAATATCGCAGCTCCGTAATTACACTTGATGTTACAGACACATCTCATCCACAACATCAGATGATATAAAGGCCATCTTTAAAGCGAACTGGCGATAAACACATTGGTAACTGCGACCCGATACTGGGCGACCAAGGTTTATTTCTCCCACGCAAATTTCGAATTTCTAGTGATTACGTATTAACCTGCTCAAAGAGGGGATGACTGCTTGCTTGCTTCGTTTAGGATAGACTTGTTACTTTCAGGTGTATCAAACCGGTGTTTTTTTTTGGTTTGCAAGCTAGCATAATGGTATAACTTTTGGAAAAACAGTTAGTCTGGAACCAATCCCATTTATGGATTACGGGGAACAATTGTTGAAAATTTTCAAAATTCATAAAAAGCAAACACAGAGGCGAAACCCTAAGGAAAGGCATGGTATTAAACAATTATTCCCTCTCTTCACTCTCTAGCAAATAAGGAGAGAAATTAAAAAAAAAAAAAAAAAAAAAAAAGAGGGCTAGTGGACGCGAGAGAAGCCTTCGGAAATTGCTTTGCGGCATTGATTCATTTTGTACTCCTAATGACTAGTATAGAGACGTCATTCGTTCGCGGGACCTGCTTACAGCAGGAATGAATTCCCATTGTAGATCGCAGGCTGAATTCCGAACATTCCAGCTTCTACACGCTATGTCAGTAGTCAATGCCTTACCACACTCCTAGACACGGAGACACTGCCCTGGCCACAGAGATTTCACACGCGCCACATTGAAGGATCACATGTAAGCAGGAGGCCGGTGGACACGTAACGATAGGCATATAAAAAAAAAAAAACGTGCACTTTACTTAAGTCGAGGAGTACAAACGATGCGATTCCTTGCTTGCTCCAATAGACCTCAACTAAATTGCTAAGGGTATTTTAACACAAGTTGACGACAAGCTGACGCGCATGCGCGTCAAGAATTTCGCACCGCATCGGACATTCTGACGCGCAAGCGCGTCAAGTCTATGCTACTCACTTTTATCGTGCTTGCGCTCCTTCCTCTCGGGTTTCTTGTATTCATTCTATAGATAATACATTAGCATGACTATAAACCGCTTGGCAGCTAGAGTGGTCAAGTATCTTTTGATTAAGCAAAGATTTTCCGAACGCACAAAACTTTCGTTCCGATTCTTTCTTAATAATACTTTCACTGCCGTCAATATTCTTATGAAAGATTTTAGAGTTAGTTGAAACAAAACTCTGTGAGTTTCAATATATTTGATTTGATGGGAGTACTTAGATATAAATGCTTTTAATTTCATTCGCAGCGAAAGTGATGTTTTTTTACTTCTTCGTGGTTATTATGCGCTCTTCTAAACGAAAACCTTTTGCTACTTATATACTTAACCTTTGTGCGATCGTCCTTGCCGAAATAGTCCTATGAAATTCAAGTTATTGTGCATTTTTAACAAAAAATAAGCGTAAGTAAAGTGAGATGTTGAGAACGGCGCTGATCGCAAAAAATCAGCTATGTTCCACGAAGGTGCAAAATGCGAACATGCGATGTCCTGAACGTGTTAATTAGCCGCTACGCATTTGCCATGCAGACAATCTCTCGATCTCCAGGGCTAGCAAACGGGCATGCCGATCAAAAGGCGGATGGACGAAATGGCCACTTCCAACCCTCGTAGCGGCCTCTAACATTGTTTACTGCTTAGCACTTTCACTTGTTTATTTCTCTCGATTTAGGGCTCACGTCATTTAATCCATTAAATAGCAAAACCTGGACCATCTCATCTACATGAGATGATTTGGAAATCTTAAAAATTGCATAATCGTCTCTACGTGCTAGTAAGGATCTTGCAACGTATGCTATGAAATTTTCGTAAGATATCGAGATGCAATACAAAATATATCTGGAGTCACACATTAAAGACAAGAATAGGACTACTAATACATTGAATGTTGATTCCGCTTAAAAATGTGGAAGTAGGGCAATGAGGAGATGAAACGCCATGTGAGAAAAAGGAAAGAAAAAAAAATCAAGCACATGTACAATGCACAGGAAAATACGAGCATTTCGCTCAACGCTCGCATGGAGAAGTTCAAAAGAAAGGAGGGAGAGGGAGATGAGAGATAATGTGAGCGCAGAGGGTGGTAGAGAATTCCGAGAAGAGAGCATAGCAGATCAACGCAGCGACGCAGACAAGATATCGAACGGTGGGCGGACCATGTTATGTTTGGTGGAGTCTGTTAGAAGTCCATGGCGCCTAGGGTCCTAGTGACGCGTTTCGATGTAGAAAGGTGGCGCTACCTTTGCACTTGCGTACCCAGCACTTCTAGCCATGGTAAGGGCTTCTTAGGTGGGTCTGAGCCCGAACTTTGCCTTTAAGCGTTACTGAGGCCAGGTTGGCACTATCGCGAGATACGAGACATTGTGGTGGCAATGCATTTGGAACCCCATGAAATATCTCCTTTTTGTTGAAAAAAAAAACGGGACTAAACCTAGGCGAGGAGGAGAGACTTTAGAGTGGGTGAGCAATCTTCATTTTCCTGTGCGTGAGCAAGTTTCATTTTCCTCCAAGTCTCTGCCTCCTCCTAGGCTTAATTCTGGAGTATCTCCCGTGTCGTCAGTACATAGCGCCGTAAAACTCAGTAGACACATAATGTCTGGAAGTATGACAGCAGTACTAGCAACTAGGGCAACGAATAACTCAATTGTGCCAAAAAAAACTCGATTATGACTTTTCACTAGAGCTTGTCCTTGCGTTATCAAGTTATGGATTGAAAAGTGCCTCGAATCCACAATTTTCACGAATTTAGCTCCTCACTGAGGCAGGAATCGTGTCAAAAACAGCGTAAAAAATAAAACACGGCGTCAAAAACAAGAATGGATGCCAGCACAAAAGCAAAGAAAATGAAAGCAAAATTTCATGAAATTCTTACCAGCTTTCTGGGAGCCAGGTCTGCTTGCCACTGTTCCCTCATACTGTAATATTTCTTTTCGTGTTCCTGCATAGTGTTACGCTCCTTCTCCAGCAATTGCTTCCTCTTCTCGTTCTGCATCTCATCAAGTTCGTTCATCTAAAAGAAAGTTGTCCTTTACCAAATACTACTAACTACATATCCAACAAAGAGTGTCATAGGAGGATAGCCATACTACCATTTCTTCACTTCACATGTTGACTACAGGGTTATTCACATGTGACTCATGCTCTGCAGGCCGCATGTATGCCGCATTCACGTGCGAAACCACACCCTGCGGTCCACTCTTTCCGCATGCGCAGTTTCCGTTTTTTATTTTCGATAGCAGAACTCTAAGTGACTTGGGCAAGAAGCGATTAAGTAAAAATTTCTCAAATTAGGACTTCTTAAGGACCATCAACTTTCACTCAGCTTCGGCATTCAAACATTTGAATAACAGAGAAGAACAATTCTAATTCCAATTTCTGCATTTTAAGTGTTTGTTCATAATGATGGTGATCAGTATGCATGGTACGGCAAAGATATTGACCGTTCGAAAAGTCTTCGCTATACCTCAATGAAAAAAGGAATCAACAAGTATTTTATGTCACTGGATAGGGGACAAGAAACCGTTTCTGCAAAACACTCAGGCGCTATCGCAAGATAAATGGGCATTGTACAGGCAACACATTCAAAACCACGTTAGGTATCTCCTTTTTGTCAAAAACTGGATCGATTCATTGCTGCAGTGGCCTCTAAATATCCCTGATCTCGACGGTCATCCGTTCCGAACGGATTGTCTAATAGAGCTAAGCTTGCGCTACTTATCAAAATTGACTCATTTCTTCAAAGGTGTTACGAAAAAAAGCACAGGGTTATTTGGATAACCACTACCTGCAGCCAAAAACGGATATTCTCCCTCACCTCCTTGGTCAGTGTGTTTGCGTCAAAGGCGTCCGTGTCGAATTTCAGGGGAAATATTACGTTTAATTGTTGATCACCTCACATCAAGTAAAGTACGTGCTATCTCTTTTTCCTTTTGGTATGAAAGTGCTTTTTCACGCGATAATACTTATGCTGCCCCCTGTACCCTCCAATTCTGCACCCTGTACCCTCCCTTCAAAAAGCGAGAAAGTGTCGGGTGCAGACCAAACACCACAAGTGACGACGGCCTCCAAGTAAATCTGGTTAGTAGTGTTCATAGTGATAGCTGATTTTGGTAAATGATAGTTGTAATTAGTGACAACTGATAGAATACAACTGCAACAGGCTAATCATTTCATTGGCAGAAAAACATTTACATTTTGTGAAGGCCGTCGTCACTTGTGGTGTATGGTCTGCACCCGACACTTTCTCGCTTTTTGAAAGGGAGGGTACTTTCCAAATGGTCTTATTATTCGAATCAACTAAATTCATCACAGCTTCTTATTGGTTTGGTGCTCAAAAAGCACTTCGTGATACAGTCGGATCACGACAGCAGCGCGCTGGACAAATCGCGCCGCCATCCGCAGCCAAAAGATTAAAAACGTGGAGCGCGCTGCCATCAACGTGATAAATAAAATTGCAGAAATATAATTGTTGAGAAAAATAACTGAGGTTGGGAAAGGATCACAAAGAAGGCACATATGAAAAATAATCCATTGTAAGATTAAGCACATTACCACAGTAGTTGTTTATACGAATTCAATGTAAAATATCATCGTAGATATTTGCACTGGGATACAAGTGCGGAACCACTGAGCAGCACTGCACCCAATTGCGTTACCCGAGATTAAAAACGTTAAAAAAACAGAACTAACCGAAAACTGATGCTTTTCCTTCAGCTGCGCAATTTTCCTGGCGCTCTTCATGTCGTGTTCTTCAAGGGCGTTCCTAATTCGCATGTTCTCCTGTTCATCGAATCGCCGCAGCTTTTCACTCATTTCAGCCGGCGTCATTGACTAAAGATTGTAATATAAGAACGGATACAATCATAATAGAAGTAACAAAATATACAAAAACGCATTTTACCTGCATGCTAATTCGAAGGCTCTCTTTGAACATATGGCTTCGCGTTTTTGCTTCATTGCGTAACATCTTCGGGAGTTTCTTTCGATCCAAAGCAAGTGCACGAACAAGCTCTTCCTCCTCTTCCTAGAAATCAGAATCTTCAATTTGAGTAACCATGTTTTAACAACGATGGAATGTTTTGACCACAGAACACATTTTCAACTCATTCCATCATTCATTAAGAGTCCAGGTTTTCGAAGGAAATGAGTTGGAGTAAGTGGCTTATTATTTCTCCTCAAAATCGAAGCACTCAAGAAGGCTTCTGCAACATTTGTCTTCTTTCTCGAGATAGTACACGGCGTGTGAATGCACCTTAACAGAAGTGATGCTATGTATCCTCCCTGGGCAGTAAAGGCCTTGAATTTATTTGCTTTCCTGTTCAATGAATGCTGCTCTGAGAAAAGGCTTGTACAATGTTTGTACAGGGTGCGTCAAAATTACTTGCGCAAATACCCACGTTGTAAAAACGGCACAACAACGGATTGAAGACCGATTTTTTTGAAAATATCGCATACCCCTTTCGATAATTCATGATAGCTTTCTACATAGACGACATTAACACATTGACGACATCGCGCGTTTTGGGTTTTTGCACCGCGTGGGACAAGGGCGCTTTTGCGAGCGCGGCCGTCACACCTCACACCCGTAAATTTCGAACGATAACCTTGGGAAGCTTCAAAGGTACGAAACCATTTCAGCAATATTCAATGCGTAGAAAGTAATCGAAGATATAGTAGCGAAATTCCGATCAAAAAACGTGAAATGGTAAAGAAAATTGGAATTCAAGTCCTTTTCTCTGTAGTGGATGCCAAAACTATTTTCGATGTGGATGTGTCAAGTGAAACATATATCTTTCTATCCCTTTAAGTTTGTATTTACTTTCACTACCCTTTCTCACTGACATGTTCATCAGAATAGGAAGAAAACGAGGGATGAACCGAGCTGCCAATTCCGCTGTGCTTAAAAAACTTCTGCTAAACTGGAGCATATTTGATCATACCGTGACCCATGTCGTTTACAGTTATGTTATGTTGTAATCCATAGAATAGAGGCAAGCAAATTGGGAAGAATCCCCGCATACGCTAGAAAAAGGGATGACAAGGGTGATTACCGCGTCTCAATGTTGTCAATGTGTTAAGAGAAACTGCTACGCGAACACGGTGCAGGTTGCGCTCGAGAAGCTCCTCGAGGGGTCCTGGACCATAATGACACCGTCTGACTTGGTAGTTGGCAGGAGTCTTGCAAAGAAAGGTACTGTCTCTAAGAAACTGACCGTTATTGACTCGATCGAAGAAATTGCTGGCTGCTTCAGGCTGGAGCTATTACGAGGGTTTTCCTACTTGTTTCCCACCCCCTCCCAACCTCCCCTACATATTTCCCTCCGCGCTGAATGTAGCAGGTTCAATGACGCTATCAACACCATACCTCTTGGAGAAAGGGAGATGACGGTAACTCCTATGGGTACTCTCTCTAAGGAAGGACACTCCTGTTTCCAGAATTTCGGCAATTGACAGTTGACCCTGTTTCCAACCAAAGAATAGCAGGCTCCGTGGAGGGATTTCAGTCAATAGAATGGGAATGCAAATTCAGTTGAAAAGTTTGAACCGAAAACGTTAAACACCGTTGCTATGCCTCTGCAAGACCGCAAAAACCTCGCTCTCATCAGCCACAATCAGTGCATAATAGCAGTACTATACTACACTCCCGTTCAAAAACTTTAGTATACATCCATCAAATCGCAACAGCAAAACAAAATTAGAAAGGGAAGAAAAAGCAGAAAGAGAGCTACTGTCATGAACACCTGAATTTCTCAACAAATATAAGGTTATAGTCGCGTTGACATGGAAAATAACCTGGTTGAATTTCTGAGCTTGGGCCAATTCCTTTTGATGTCTAGCCAGCATTTGTGTCCGGAGCAGGAAGTACTCATCCTTGAATAGTTTTCGATGCAGCACATACCTGGGAAATGGTGCTTTCTTCTAGAATTCTCAAAGAACATAGGAAGAAACAAAACAAAACAAAAAGCCATAACGGCTTACTTCTCCCCCATTTGCTTTTCCTCCAACTCCCAGTCGCTATTTTCCTTAGCTCTCAGCAAAAGATGCTTCTGCATCAGGAATTGACGCTCAAGAGCAGCCATCTTTTCCTTAAATATTCAACATGAACTTTTTCAATGAAGGATGCTGCTTATAATGAAACTACCTTGTGCTTCTGCGTCAGCCTAGCCAACGTAGCCTCGGCATTCTTTTGGAGTTGCATTACGAAATCAGCTTCCTACAACAAGGCACAATAAATATACACGAATACAAAAAAAAACAATTGCACTGCACCTTCAAGTGATTTTCATGTTCCATTTGATCTTTCTTCATTCTGAAGGCATCCTTCCTTTGGTGACGAGGTAGCATATCCATTTCCTGCTTCATTATTTTCATTTCCTGCTTGAGACGTTCTTTGAAGGCGCGCAAATCTTTCTCCTGAAGAAGATGAAAATTTTTAATTATCGCTCAATCGAGTTAGACGATCAAAACCACGTTTTTTCATTTTAAAAACCACAACCATATTTTTGGGCATATCGTTCAGACTTGCGCTCAGAAAATGGTGTGAAGTCATGACTTCTCATCAAGAAGAGCCAAATAACGATCAAAAGAGGAACGGGAGAGACTGTATATTGTCGAAGAAAAATCCTAGGACTTATAACTGGAAGGGAAAAGCAACAGAACAGTGGAGAACTAATTTTAGGAGCAGTCATACGCTACGGTGACTTATAGAGCTTTTCTTATTAATAGACAAAAACTGAGAAAGATCTCAAAAGGGCCTAGCACACAACTAATACTTAACGATCGGACAATAAATAAAGTACCTGCTCATATTTCAATCGCTTCTGTGCCTGCTTCAATTCATCTTCCTGGACTTTCTCAGCTTCCTCGATCTCGCGCTTTTGCTTCCTCTCCAATGCTTCCATATCAATCTCATATTGTCGCGTGAGGACCTTAAATTTGACTCAATTAGCACTCTTATTGTAACTTTCAGGACTTTTTCCTTCAATGCAATAAAGCACTCAAAGATTGATAGATTTAAATTAGATTGCTTACTCAATAGCAGTCTTTTCGCATGCTTTTCATTGCAGAAAAATGTTGAAAGAAATAATAATGACAGGAAATTGTACGAAACGTAAAACAACAAGGATTGAGGAGCCGTCGTAAAAGTTAATTAAAAAGGTTGACTACGAAAAAAAAACGACAACAAAAAGGAACAAATAGCATATTATAGTTACCGCTTTCTCTTGCTGGAACTTCCGCTCCTGCTGCTCCACTAAATTAGCTCCTTCAAGTTGCAGCTCCTGTTTCTGTCGCGCCTCCTCACGTTGAAGACGACGCAAATCTTGAAGCTGCTGCTTCCTGAAAGATTATCTCATGAAACCCCGATGATCGTGGAAGCGTTTTCTCAAAAATCGAACTATAATAAATAAATCCCCACAAAACATAAGCTCACCTCATTTGCATATCTTCTTTGGTACCGAGTACATGCATCGTTGTAGAAGTAACCTGCATACCATCTATAGTGTACGTACGAGTCTTCTTCGTTACAGTTTGTCGATGGGGATGTTTCCGGACCGCAAACGTCGTTTCGCCCAGCTTCCTTCTACAACAAAAAATTGGTGCAATAGAAAATGCGAGGGTCGCGTCAAACTTGCCACTGACCGTGGTACGATGCTTAACACCATCTTGATCCCTCTGAACATCCCTAGAAGCCGAAGGGAATGCGGCTCCATTAGGCAATGAGGCTGGCGGCGCATTTTCTTAACAGGCTTAAGATTCGCCCCAAAACTACAACCATGCCTCGAAATAAGCAAGAGACACATCAAACCTTTTGAGTTCTGCTGGTCATTGTAGTCCACGGGCGGTTCGGGAGGAGGAACTCCCTTCTTGTCAGAAGATGAGGAAGAAGAAAACTAGAATAAGTCAGGATAAGCCTTTCCTTTCTAGTACATCAAAAAAGAATAGTTGATAGTGAACTGAAAAGGTTATAAACAAGGGAGACTTACATATGTGGTCTCAGCACTCGGACCAGCAGGAAACTGTTCGAAGTAGTTATAATCTTTGCTATTTGGCGGCGATTCCCTATCAGAAGAAGGAGCAGAAAAGTGCTGTGGCGGTTCTGTTTTCGACTTGTGCACACCAGGCAACGACTGGGATGACGGCGAACTGGGCTTCGATGGAACAACTTGACCTTTCAAAGAACCCGAGCGTGTGAAGACCCTAAAGATGCGAGCCTTTCATTGTTAGGGACGAATGAATCGAAGTGTCTATGCGAAGAACGCACTGTGGTTCTTCACTCTGTACACGTGAATGTGTCCGGTGACTGATGGCCTGCTCCGATGCCGACGTTGGAAGAACTGTGGGCGATGTTGGAGCCACGGATGATAACTATAAGGATACAGATAATAGATTACGAACGATTTGGTTCATTTGAATGAGACCTTGTTAGTACGAATGAGAAAACAGTGAACGCGCGCCCTAGCACTCTGGCTTGCATAAGCAGACGAAGATTTTTATATACATGAGAAGTAAGGTCGCCTGAAGGAATACGCAAGTGATCCTTTTGCGGATACAGGGCCCAGCGAAATGGTTGAAGCAACACCCCCAGCAGAAGTCGTGTCGAAGAATCTATTCAGTGGGTGGGATAGAGTAGCCACGAGTATCACAGATGTGCCGTTGTCGCGGCTTGAAAGTGCGCGACAATGGCGCTAGGGTCTTACAAAGTCAGCTTTTGGCGACTAATCTTAGCATTTGGACGAGTTACGTCGCGCACACCCCATGACACGCAACGTGGATTACTAGCGGCTAATTCAAATACGCGCGGGTTAGTTGAGCCGTGGAGCAGGCAAATTCGTACAACTCGTCTGGCCCCGCCTTCCTTATTTCAAGGAGAATCCTTGTTTAGGGTTTCATCGACGGTTTTCTTTGCTTCTTTTTTCATTTTTAGTCAACTCGGTATCCACAACTCCATTCGACCATGTAACCCCACAAATTCGATCTGGGGGTCTTGCTTTAATTACATATAGCAAACAAAACAATAACTTCAACAAACCTAAAAAAACAAATCGCTCACCTTTCCTTCCGAGGTAGACACTATGTTGCTTATCGAGCTCTTATCACCGGCGTGGGCTGTTTGTTGAGAGTTCTGCTCAAAATATCCACGAAGTTTTTCAGTGTTTGTTAACTAGAGTGAACAAGTGCAGCAGGAGTATATAGGAGAAGTTGAAAACAGCAAGAAAGTGTCAAGTTATCGAGAGAACAATTCTAAAACGGAGAAATAAATGGTTACAGCTCACTACCTCATGGGGGATATTGATGCCTAGTTTCACAACAGTTTTATCCTGCACGCCTTTGTCCTGCACGCTTTGATGCGACTCGGCCTTGTGCAAAGAGTCCTGACGATAAACATTTTCGGATGAGCTCACAACGGATCCACCTGTAAAGAAAGCATAGGCAAAGTATCAAAAAACTGCCGAAGTGTTGAACCAATCCAAAACTCAAAACCTACTCCGATGAACTGCCTTTGGAGCTACTGGAGTAGGAGACTTCGTTGGGCTTCGCACAGCACCCACAACTGCAACAGCTATATAAAACAGCTATCTATCTTAGCCCAGCTTCCTTTTATGAAACAAGGTCCAGCGAGCCCCCTCCCATCTAGAAACTGCGTTCCTCACTCGTTCTTGAATGATGGCAAAGAGAACACTGGTTTGAAATTAATGAATATGAAGATCATGCCCATTGTATTACATTCTATCAATTCAAGTGGCGACTATATATTTATTTGTTGTTTGTCATCAACCACCGAACCACTGGACCGTCCAGTATTCAGGAACGCTTCGAAGAAGGCGACTGTGCCGAAATGTTAGTCAATTAAAGTTGATGGCAAACTTGAAGACGAGAGCAGAAACTAGGTTTTTTAATCGTGCTGAGATTAATGGAAGCCATTCGTGGACTATTCTATTCGGTATGTTAATGAGAAGCACAGAATAAAAAAACATTACGCAGAAAAACGGGGGCATTGATGTAAGAGACGGTGCCGATCCTGAGCTTTTCTGGGATGGATGAAAAAAATCCCTAACGCAAAAACTAAGCTTTCAATTCTTCCTTCAGAAGAAAAACCAAACTTTCCTAATTTCTATACATAGAAGAAAAAATGTTTGTCGGAACTTGAAAGTTCTACATGCACCATCAGATGTCCCGTGCCCTTGATTGGAACATACCTGATAGCCTTACCCTTTCTTGTCTCTGTACCACCTGTTGCACCGCCGCTTTTAGTACCCTCTTTACGAAAAAAAATTTATGCTTCCCTCTATAAGGTAAATAACTCTTCTTACAAGAACAAGTATGATTTAACTTATGGCGAATGAATGACCCACCATCTCTGATTTTATGTTCAGGAACTGGACTGTGCACAGTAACCAGATTAGGAGCAACCTGTGGAGCTTCCGAAGGGATGGGGCCTGGAATAAAGCGACTCCTCGCCATTCTACTACAGCGGCAAGTGATTCACACATTACACTGATATAAAAAGAAGAGGCAAGCTAGCAGGTGCAATCGAAAAACAGTAACAGGGACAATCAACTGGGATAAAAGACATACCGTCGCTAATGCTGTGCATGGATGACGAGTTTTGCTTATCAAGAGCAGTGGTTAGATCATCGAGAATATTGAGAGCTTCACGTCCCGGACTCACTATTTCGCTAGGTGTCTGAATTAATTCAGCAAAGAGATTAAGATCAAGGAGAAATTTAGGAATAGTGGAAAAAAATTTGCCTGCTACGACCTGATATATCGAACAGTCAAGTGTGAAAAAGAAACAACAGGATTTCTAACCTTCGATGGCTGCGATGGCGTTGTCGCCTGAACAAACAACTCCTTGTTCATGTCGGACGTCTGAGGAGTTGCGGTGGGCTGAAAGAAAGAGGTTTCATTTCATGCTCTTGCATTGTTTAATGTAGACGGATCATTTCGCTGTAAATTCATGATCTGGTAAACGCAACGGCTTTGAAACTCTGTCCTGAAATATACCGGTCGAAAATCCTCAAAAAACCTCATCCCCCGTCCACTGCAAGACAACCGAGAACCCAAATACGACGCTCCGTTTAACTTCCTAACAAGCACGGTTCATCCTGGTTGGCAGGAGATTTCGATAAGTACACAGATGCAAAACTAAGTGGGTAAAGTGATTTACTTTAAAATTGAAATCGAGCCGCGACCGACAACTTTCCCAAAAATAGGAAATGGATTGAATGAAATAGAGGGAAATATTTTGTTGAAAAAACGTGTAACAAACTTTCACAACAAACGTTCTAGAGCTAGAGATATTCTGGAAAGGATTGACGGTAAATATTTCCACAACTAGATAGAAAATTAAACATATTGTGGGGATAGTGACGAATATCAAAGAGCGAAGTATGATAGCAAAGCAACAGTAAAGAGCAGTTCAAATAGACGATATTCCTAAGGTGAAATAACCACGCACATTCAAATGTAAAACTAGGAAACTGTGCACAGCATACCTGAGCTATGGGTGGCGGTGGAGGAGCAGCTCTTTTCTTCGCCGGAGCCTCAGTCGTTGCTACTGCTACATCTTTGACTGGTGGAGGAACCGGTGTCGGATTTGTCCACATGGCTTCCACTGACGCTGAAAGTACATCCGATCATTGTTTTGCATTTGAAGGCACCCTCTCTAATACGCTCCAATTTCATGCTCTAGATTCCAACTGTGTCACTTCCACAACATTCTATTTTCAACATCAATCTAAAGCGCATTGTTCGTGAAGATAATGCGGTTGGACCTCTTTCTCGTCGCATATCGACCCTAGGACCTATAGCACTCTTCGAGCCAACTGATGGTTGGTGTATAAGTACGCCAATAATATTCCCATGTGGACTAGATGAGAGGGTAGCAGCACGGCGTAGAGCAGCTGGCCAACCCACACCAGCTTAACACACACCATCTTGCAAACCTTAACTCCTCAGAACTTCACAACTCCCTCTGGGAAACTATCCAATCAAACCAACGTGAGGATAGCCCTGACACCAAAGCAGAAATCCAATACAGACGTTGCTTAAGTGCTACAGTAGCGACTCAATCATCTACCTAAGCATTAAGGTCCTTTGTATTAGGAAACCACAAGCTTCTATTGTAAATGTAAATAAGGTAATCCTGGCCATATCTTTGTTAAATACTTGCCTTTTTTAATCCTTCCCTTTTCATAAGGAGAGCGGAAAATTAAATAAGTAATAGAATAACAATGAAACATACATTGATCTTCAGAATCAGCGCAACTCTCATCGCAGCTCGCACGATCCTCATCGATGACAACCTCTTCCTCAATATCCGCGTTTACTTCAGCCAATAACGCCAAAACAGGATGGCGATCAGTCGCATTTGCTATGAAAGGATGCTAAAAGCAGCACTTTGTTGTACGAAATCCACAAAGATGAGAGAATGCAGCAGAAAGATGATTCACAATCAATCATACCGATAATATTTGCTTGGCTGTTTTTCGCTCCGCCGGGTTCTTTACCAAACACTGACTGAGAAAATCGGCGAAAAATATAGACCAACTGGAAGGATTCTCAAGAGTTGGTGGAGCAGACTTTTGCACTTTTATCAATACCCGCATTGGTGACACCTGGAACAAGATGATAAGATAAACTCTAAAACAAGTGCCATAACTTGTAATAGATCAAAAATAATACCAAGAGATCAAAACTTATCATTCATCGCATTATTCATCATGAACAAAAACCCAAAGGGAAAAGTGGAACTTCAAATGGTTTTCAACAAAACAACAACTGAGCACAAACTCAATGAAAATAAACTTACATTAGAATGAGGTGGCTCCATTTGAGCCATCTCAATCAGCGTTATTCCAAACGACCAAATATCTGATATCGTGCCATACGGCTGATCTTTGAATGTTTCACACATCATAACTTCTGGAGCCATCCTGAAGAACGAAGATTCAACAGGTTTCAATGGATCGCCCGTGCATTTTTCCTTTGCAAGCAATCCGACTTACCAATAGGGTGTCCCAATAAACGTATCTCTTCTCTCATTCCGATCCTTCAATTTGGCGGACACTCCAAAATCAGCTGGAAAGGAAGTTCACGCAACACAAGGCGGCGATTTGACAAAACGTGAACTAACCTAATTTGACGACCGCATCACTTGTAAGAAGAATATTACCAGCCTTCAAATCACGATGAATAATATTGTTGTCATGTAGGAAGGCTATGGCTTCACAAGTATACCTTCAAACGTTGTGTATTCTTCAAATAAACAAATAGAACGTAAACATTTCTATGCAGAAAATTATCAACCTCGCCACATAAGCGATTTGCTTTTCAGTTAGCGGTTTTTCTAATTCGATCATGATCGCGTCGACAGCACCACCACCGCAAAACTCGAGCATCATCTAAACAAACAACTATCCAAATATCGCTGAGGCGCAGCCAACAAGGCAAACACAAACAAGACCAGAACTCCCGAACGCAAAGGACAACACTAATGTAAATGAAAACGGAAACAAAGGAAAACACCAGACAAATACACAAGTTAATTAGCAACTTACGTGCAGCTTATTTTCGAAAAAATAACAAGCATAGAGGTTCACGATATTCACATGCTTGCACGACGTCAAAATATCGATTTCAACAAGGAAATCCTCCAATTCCTCACCTTCTTGAACCTCGATAGCCTGAAAGCGAACATGACTTTTGAAGGAAGGAAAATAAGAACGAACTCAAAATTTAACACTCATTCACCTTGGCGGCCGCGAATAGACTTCGATCCGTCCTCGAAACTGCTTTCTCGACTTTACCAAAAGCACCATCCCCTAGTTCTCCAACTATTTCCCAGGAATCTTTGGGGTTAACATTAACCTTAAACAAGGAACGACTGAAAAAGGCTTCATAAATCCAACTGCTAAAAAACAACAAAAACTAGAAAAGAAAGGTGTAGTGGATAGCGAAGAAAGAGTAGAAAATAGCATGAAAAAAAAACGAAAAAAATTGATATTACCTCGATGATTGATGGCAATGGTCGTCTTGCCTCCTCAATAGCGGGACTCCGAAAGAGGTTTTTCATCTTACCGAAAAACGACATTTCGGAGGCCTGGTGATGTGAGCAACGTGTGGCCGCCTGGAATTGAGCGATGTACAACGCGGGTGGGAACGTCTGAGAAATACGATGGCACGTGTCGACAATGATGAGAGATGAGTAATGAACGGTGAAAGAGATGAGGGTCAACTCTCATGGACGCCCAGTCGATAAGGGCGAAAGTTGATCAGTTGTCGCCGATCGGACGAGGACGCAGCCGCCAGCACTGCGACGTCTATATTACTGCGCCAAAAGGAGACCGAGCGCACCACCCGGACCTGTCCGACTGGCAAACCGTGACTCAGCCTACTCCACCCCGTCTGGTCTCAGTAAATTGTTTACAGATTTTAAATTCCACACATTATTCCATTTCTAAGTCAGCTAGTCTCCCAAGTCTGTGATTCAGAAAGAAAGCAAGGTTTTGCTAGAAACGGACAGCCATCTTCTACTTTTAGAATCCCAAAGGTCCATTTATACTATGTATATGTCTACTTGTTGTTGTTGCCAACTTCGAAGAATTTTGATACGAAATAGTCGAGCGATATAAGCAACGCTCAACTTGTAAACGAGTACTCAAGACTTCTTGAAGGTCACAGTCACAGAAAATGTGAAAGGAACAACGCAAGTTCACACAATTACGACAGAAAGGAGCACACAACAATTGACAGTTGTTGTGTTTGCGTGAGTGTCACTTTCTTTTTCCCCACTCCTCAGCTTTCTCCTTTTAGCAAGAAACGGAAGATGCGATAAAATGAACTCAAAAAAAGATGAGATAAAATGAGTGCAGCTGGAAACACAATTATCAGTTGAACCCGACAATCAAAACTTCTGTGACATACCTAATCGAGAACTTCTTACCACAGAATTTTATTCGTCGCTCGATATTTCTTCTACACAACGGCCTTAGGGCCCTAAAGGTAGATAGGTTGCGATTTATAAGCGACTGATAATTTATATTCAGAGTGTAGCTATATAGAGTGACAAACTACATAGATGAGCAGTTTGCCACGACCTGGCAGTAGGTTTAGAAGCGCCTAGGCCTAAATGGTCACACTCAAAGTGCTTCACTGCTCAGAATTCTCGTATCAAATATATTACCATATCAGCGGGTAGATCGCTACCCACAGGCGGACTTCTATGCGGGTATGGATCTCATTCCGAGAGCCACTGATGTGATAATGGTATGCTCAGCCTGTAGGGTATTTCTACGCTGCGTCTAAAGAAGTTCCTTGAGACTATCGCTCTTGTGAGTTTATTAGATAAAGCTTCTCGGTTTCTTTCACATGCTGATAGTTGCGAAAGTGATGCCCGATTTATGCGGTGTCTCGTGTCCTTATAGTAATGGGAATTCTTTGTAGATATCGGATATATGCTCGTGGGAAAGCCCTTAAGCGGGCAGAAGAGAAAAAAGCAGGGAGGGAACAGATAACGCGGATAATTGGTGTGTGTCGAGTTATAATCGCAAGTTAGGATAAGAGCGAGCTATTATTGCGCGATAGACAACCGTGTTCGTTTTATAGTTATGCATTTATCTTCTACTCGCGTGGTCAGCACAAATAAAAGTCACGTGTGGAATCTGATCACCTGCGGAATTGTGATACTAGACACTCTTCTTGTGTGATCAAGGCTACATGATAGACTCTAGAGCTTAGACTCGAATGTATGAAACAATTCCGCTTGTGCGATAGACGGCATCTGGGTGGTCAGACGGCTTGAGCTGCGGACGAAGCGTGCATATATGTCATAAACTAACTCAGAATGTTTTAGTACTCTATTATTTTTTTCGAAGATCCAGTTTCGTCCTATTTAGTTTCCTTCATGCACAGCAAATTGGACTGATGTCAGACATCCCCGTCGCACGATGGCAGTGAATTTCTGCATCTGCATCTGGTAGTCCAAAATGAGCAATATTGATTATTAGCACGTGCATTGAATTTTCGTAATGGACACTAGTATATGTATACCCTTCTCTCCTTCTCGTCCTCGCGCCATTCACGAACTCCACAGCCATAATTTCTCCGCTTCGTCGACTTTAGTGTTGCCGATGTGTCCTGCCGGCATCTGTTACAGATTGCTCTATTATCGTTCATGAAGGCATGATGTTCTTTGGCTTTTGCAAGCAATTGGATGCGTATACTGTATGAAGTTTGCTGTACCTGCGATGGGTCGAGCAACTATTCGAGGTGCGGACACGGGTCCCGGACCAAATTCGGTTGACTGGCTGCTACATCATGCGAATGCTGTGATCCGATTCTCTCTTGATTTTCGACACTCAACGCGCAAAGGCCTACGGTGACAGCGACTGTATATCAATAGCGATACGCGCCCGTAAAGGCCCGTGAATATTTAGAAATTTCGTAGCAAGAATAATATCTGGTGCTAACAAAAGTTCATGAAGCCTAGTCGATATGTCGACAATCGTCGTAAAGACATACAGGCAGTGTTTTTTTACTCCAGGAATTTCTTGGTGATAGCGGTGAATTTATTAGAGTCAGTTATTCATTTAAGTCATAAATGGTCACGCCAATATACAAATCTGGTGGCCCCGAAGTCTTGAATCTAATACTTTTCATTATCCTTTTTGTTCCATTCTTCCCGGCATCGCTACCCTCCATTAATAGTGGCACTTGTACAACCTGTGTTGCCATAACACATGCACTAAGTACTAATATCCACAGGTCATTCTCGATTGTCGCATGCTCGCTCATTGTAGCGCCGTGCTGAATAAATACTGATCGAAGGGAAGTCTAGATCGTTTCACGTGTCAGAAGTTTGGATGCATCATCATGGTTTAGGACTGCGCTTCTACTACATATGGTGTTAGGACCTTGGTATTTTGATGATTTCGAACGTACGGAACCTGTAGAAAGAAAAGGGGCACGCCAAGAGAAGGTATGCGTGGTCATTTTAGAACTCCTAGATGGAGTACTCACGAACTAGATCTGTGATAAAATGGGATACAGGTATTCGACGCAAAATTACATACAGATATCTCTCGCGCCGGTCCTGGGGGTGCTGCAAAAACTTTTTTTCTGTGAACTCTTTCTTAGCAAATACGTTCGGCGATTTACTATACAGTTTTGGTGTCAGTGCAGAAGGCAGACGATTTTTAGACCTTGTTTTGCTTTCGTAGCCGACATTATATACAGCCTGTATAGTGCAGTTCGTGAGACATGTGGCGAAACGTGAAGTAGTATGTATTCTCTCTTCTTACGCGCGTTCAGCGCTGCGAATTTCTGATATTCTGGAAGGTTGACGTGAAACTGTTCTCTCGCTTATTGTGTTTAAACGGACATCTCTCCTCTTGTGGAGCCAAAATTATCGTCCACCCTCAACGAGTAGAAGTCACAAAGTGCCCGGAGCAAGTGTCCGCATCGTGTGGGACTGAGCGCTCGGTGGCAGTTAATGGCAAGTAAGATTCCTGCTGCGAATGCGGGACCGTTGAATTTAGAGGGATTGAAAACGCGTAGTACTGCTGTTGAGTCTGTGACGTTACAGACAGTCAGTATCAGCTAGCTAACGCTTCTATTTCGTTACACCGCGCCTACAACCCCCTCGACTCAACCACGCTCAACGTAATCTTATTCTGGTGTAGACAGACAAGTGTGGTGGACATAGAGATGGCACTGGCCCATATTGAGAATCCCCTGGTAAGTCGACGCGATGACAAACGTGTGTCATTGCTACTACAATAGAAAAGTAAACAAACCCGGTTAGATGGCAGAAGTGGCTGGAGGAGCAGTGGTCGTTGTGGTGTTGGCTCGACGCGAGAGTGTGTATTGTCTTTCGCCTCAGGACTTCGTTATTAGAGCTGCTCTATGGCAGCTGAAACTCGCCTTATGTTTCTAAGAGCCGAACTTCACAATATCTAATTAACTTTATTCGGAATGCTTCACAAGTCTTGGATATTAGATTTCCACAGATGTATTCTCGGTCCTTGTTCCCAAGCATCCCCCAGGAACTTCGCCTCATGCTTAACGCTATATCACTCGAAATCGCGGTGATGCCATCCAGCGAATCCCATCTTGTTACGACGGGCTTAGCGGAACATTGTACGCCCGAAGGTTGGGGAATAGTTCCCCTCACACGAGTTCGCTGTGACTTGTGGACTATCACCAGATCATCCGCAGGGGGAGGGTGATGGTTGGGTCGAGTGTCGCGCTCCTACTTTTCACAGAATTGAAAAACGTTCTCATACCGACCTGCGTTTAGCATGAGGCACGCAGACATGGCTCTTAGACACCGTGAGTCAAGAAGTGTTCGTCTGGAAAGACATTTGTAGCAGTGTGATCTGTTTGGTCTCACGCACTGATTCCTCTTGTGCGTGCTTAGCTTCTACTTGGTGATGCTCAAGACTGGCACCTGTTGTTCGGGTTCGAATATCACTTGTTCATCGACATGCTGACTCGTATACACCAATTCAGGAGGGTCAACGAGCAGCACATTTCTCCGCTGCATAAATTTCTGCGCTCTAAAATTGTTCAGTCATATTAAACTCAGAGTATGTTTACGCTTTTAACTAGTAGTGCATATATGATTTACTAATTCGACTAAAGCGCTCGTTCTGCTCGGTGTGTAAAAGGTGATCGTATCGTGATATAAAGTAGGTTAACCGTGTAAACGATATCTGCCTTTGAGCCACCTTAGTGCATCCCCTCCCGCACTAAAAAAGCTATAAGAAGTAATAACTTCGGAAGCTATAAAGGATAAAAGGATAAAGCATTTGCCGTTGATCAATCCCTTTTGGGATGCGGCACGCATTCTACTTCCATTTGTACATTCGTAGTGGCGTTTGAATGCGATGTGGCCTATACAATGACTTGCGGGGGGCCGCCTGTGCAATCGTACTTTCGTAACGCCGGGGTAGTTTATTAATAACTTCTCCAGATCAAACTATACTCGCGTTCGGACCTTATTAATACGCGCGACGTAGCGCATGGAGAGGGCGTGGCTCATATGGGTTCCTTTAGGAATATCGCTGGGGGTCCAGGCGACCTAGACGGTTG